TTTTGCAGATTAGGCCTTGGACCAAGAATTGGAGAAATGCCCCTTTCACATCTACAAACTAAATTAAAAAATAAATTAAAATCAACCGGACAATCATTAGCTACAAAACCTTTTTCGCCATAAGTTTTACAAGAACAAAGTTTGATCAGATTTAATTATATTTCTTGGACTTCCTCATCAATTAAGACAAAAACTGAAATATGAAGCCCAAATGACATTATTAACATAGTTCAATTAGAAATATGTAAAATTATGTGGTGAATAAATAATAAATTAAAATTAATATATTATGTAAGAATGATTGGTTATATTATTTACAGTGAAATTAAATTAGCGGAGTATTTTTTAATACAGACACACGCTTTTCTCCCTCGCCGCAACCACCGTTCCTCGCCGTCATCACACAATTTCTCTCATTTTCTCAAATCATCTCACAATCAACCATGGCAGCTAAATCCCTTGCTCTCACATCTCCCTGCCTTGGAAAAACCAACAGTTTTGCTCCGCCGCCATACCACATCAACACCGTCCGCTTCCTCAAACCGAACCCCCACTTCAAAACCAAAACACCCCAATTGAAATCATCCACAAACGCACCACCGGAAAAAATGGAGTGGGACCCCCAAACCCGCGTCGAGATCCTATCGGAGGCCCTCCCCTACATTCAAAAGTTCCGTGGCAAGACCATAGTGGTCAAATACGGCGGCGCCGCCATGAAGTCGGAGTCCCTCCGCGCCTCTGTGGTGGCCGACGTCGTCCTCCTCGCTTGCGTCGGCCTCCGCATCGTGCTCGTCCACGGAGGCGGGCCCGAGATCAACCAGTGGCTGACTCGTCTGGGCATCGAGCCCAACTTCCTGGACGGTCTGCGCGTGACAGACGCGTCCACCATGGAAATCGTGTCCATGGTCCTGGTCGGGAAGGTCAACAAGGGCCTGGTCGCCATGATCAACCAGGCCGGGGCCACCGCTGTTGGGCTGTCGGGGATCGACGGCCGGCTCCTGACGGCTCGACCGTCCGCTCGGCAGCGGCTGGGGTTCGTTGGTGACGTGGCGGGGGTGGACCCCACAGTGATCCGGCCACTGGTGGAGTCCGGCCACATCCCCGTGGTGGCCTCGGTGGCGGCAGACGGCGGTGGGCAGCCTTACAACATCAATGCTGACACGGCGGCGGGTGAGCTGGCGGCGGCCTTAGGGGCGGAGAAGCTGATACTGCTGACAGACGTGGCGGGGATACTGGGGGATCGGGAGGACCCAAACAGCCTGGTGAAGGAGATTGATATAAAGGGGGTGAAGAGGATGATTGAGGAAGGGAAGGTGGGAGGGGGAATGATACCAAAGGTGAACTGCTGCATTAGGTCTTTGGCTCAGGGGGTCACCACCGCAAGTATTATAGACGGCCGACTAAAGCATTCATTGCTGCTCGAGATCCTTACTGGCCAGGGGGCTGGGACTATGATAACCGGCTGAATCTAAATTCTCCATTTTGCTTCTTTTCATGTTGTAATGGATTTTGGTATTTTTGAAAATGATTTCGTTGTGATCCTCTTATGTGACCAAATAGATATCCCTTCCATTCCTAGAGATAGTCTTTGTTTTATTCTTTATTTTCACTGTGAGTGTTTGGTTCATTTTCATCTTCATTTCGTAAGGAATTATTGTTTTTCATGAATGGGTCAATGACTGCTCATATCAGGTTTCTATTCTCATTCTGCTATTGATTTAGTAATTTTACTTTTACAGTGAGCTGTGCTGTTTTGTTGTTTTCATTTTGGGTATAAATGTGGGTTTCCATGCCTAACCTTTTTACAATTTAACTTGTCAAAATGGGGAGTTCATTAGATCCTGTTGGATATAACTTCATGAAACGGTAAATGGAAAACATTGATCATTGAACTTCTTCTCTCAACGATTTGAAATAATAGTTTGCCATCCTGTCCATACACTCCTGTGTTGTAAACTTGTGATAGTGATAAGACTTCCAACTTGGTTTTATTTTGCAGGTCTGCTTTCTATTTTTATGTCAGTGAGGTGGTTGTCCAGGTTTGTTTCTTTTCTACTCTTTTTGCACTTCGCAATGTATACTTTCACTTGCAAGATGTATATGCCAAAATTTTAAGATAATAGTTAAATCCTCCTAAATAAAAGCTGCCTTCGGCTTTTAGCTGTTGCAATTCCCTTTTTCAGTTGTCAACTGTTAATTTGGGTTTTGGGTCTCTGGCACCTGTCACAAATTCTGAAAGTTACAGAAGTGTTTTCATTTTTTGGTTCAAACATGAGTTGATTTGAACCAATTGATGAAAGAGAACCAGAGATGAATTTAATCCAATATCTACAGCCTAATTGAATTGGCCGCTTGAAATTTGAATGATTCCATCCCAACTTCTAGGCTGTCAGGTTGCATCATTGCCTAAATTGGATATTTTTTATGCCCATTTAAATCTGTTTCTTAATCTTCTTTTCGTTTCTTTTAACTCTGCTATATTATCCATTTTGTCCTGTAGGTTTTATTTGGTGTCCTCTTGCTTGTATATATCCCTGATTTGGATCCTTATCCAGAATATTCGTCCTTGCAAGCTGGGCCGGAGGACGATAATATCTATGAAGAACTCCCTTGGATGTCTAGAAATCTGTTGAGTTTATATAAATCTCTTTGCTACTTCTTTAAGCAGAATATTTTTCTGTTTTTCTGTTACAACAGTTTCCTTCCTCCAACTAATAATTGGTTTTACATGCTTGGTATGGAGAAATCACTTTCTCGTGGATGAATCCCATCATGCAGCTGGGATATAGAAAGCCTCTCACAGATAAGGATGTCTGGAAACTTGACACTTGGGATAGAACAGAAACACTTAATGACTCGTACGCGCTTGTATAAAAATCTATGCACGAGAACTTCTTAATACTGTTTCTCCGAGAAGCATCTAGTTATGTAGAAAATAATAAGAGATTTGGAATTTTTGTTTAGATTCCGAAAATCTTGGGCTCAGGAAATTCAGAAACCCAGACCTTGGCTTTTAAGAGCTTTAAATCGTAGCCTTGGTGGAAGTAAGTTTTGAAATTCTCTTGGCGCCTTTTGGCGTGTATATTTCAATCAATTGCTGACATTGCTTTGTTTTACATAATCCAAAAAGCTCATGTTTTCATTCTCGCTTCTTTGTTTTTCCCTGACGCCTTTCTCAGATTTTGGTGGGGAGGCTTCTGGAAGGTAATGTAGAGATTTCGGCTTCTCTTATCAACATTTGTATTGTTTAGCAGGGAGCACTATTAGATGTCGAAATGCATTGCATCCTTAACATTTGTATATATTATTTGAGGTCCATTTTCTATAAGGTTATGGATCTTCACAAATCTTTTGTTCTTTTCATTTTATTTTTTTTTTTGGAAAAATATATGAAAGTCCTCAAATGCCCTAAAAAATCAGTTTTTTTCAATCAAAATCACTTTTATTTTTGGTTTAGGGGCAATTTGACAAACCCGTACAATGGCAAAAAGTTTTTTTTTTTTTCCTTTTACAAATTGCACTATTGGCTTCCGCAAACAGGGTGATTGAAATGAAATGCATGAATGGCTATTTGTGATTCTGATAGATAAACCGATTCATTTATGTTATTAAGCTAAACATGAACGATAATTCGGAATTGTGCTTTGTGGCTGGTGAGAATTTTGTTTTGAAGCATCCATGCTAAAATTATACTATAGTCAATACTCGATACGTCCAAGCCTGACATATCTTGACTACTACTATGGGTGAAGGCTTTTTTGTTCTACAATGCCCTCGAAACGTGTTAATGGCTATTTGCTAAATCGACCTGTTTATTTGCCCGTATATTCGTGAGCATGGTTTATGCCATCCAGGTTTTGCGGTCATGAGTAGATTTGCCAGAAAACGGGCTTCACCATATCGACAATTTTCAAGATAGAACGATCGATTGGGCCCATGTTAAGATGTAAACGAAGATATGGTTTTAACTACTGTACATGTGTTAGTTGTAAGGAGTTTTGTTAGCAACTGACTCTTGATATTTGATATTTTCTTCAGCTTTTGTTTGTCATGAATAATTAATTGATCATAAATGTGATGGCCGTGGTTTGATGATGCGACTTATTTTTGTTTGTTTCCTCTACACTTGCTTCTTGGTGGGTGCGCATTTTGAACTTTAGATCCATTTTCATTTATTTCTTTGGTTTACTGGATTATAATATTAGAATGTCTTGGCACGTGCGTCCCTTTCGCTATCATAGGCTTATGGAATTTTTTATTTTTTCAAATAAAAATATATTTTGATATGGTAACTAAATAAGCTATCTTATAACTTATTTGGTTAGTTCATATAAACTTCTTTTATTCAAATAAGTTTCATTTATTTGGTTAGTTCATATAAACTTCTTTTATTCAAATAAGTTTCATTTATTTGGTTAGTTCATATAAACTTCTTTTATTCAAATAAGTTTCATGTGGTAGGACGAACTTTTTTAAAAAATTCAATTTTATCTCACAACTTAAATACAGAAGCTTATAAGCTAATCAAATAAGTTATAAGCTAGTTTATTTAGCTATCAAACATAGTCATAATGTTTTTACATCACGGAATTATGGATAATTGCCAATTTCAAATATATATATATATAGGGAATGGTTCCAATGCATCCACTTATTTAAAGTGAGGACGTAAGACTCATTTTTAGCCACAAGATTTGGTACATATCATGTCTGACCAAGATTTACTCTTTTCTTTTTATTATTTTAATTATTTAAATATTATTTTGACCCGTTGACTTCCGGCGTTGACCGTTGACTTTAGGCGTTGACTCCGGCGTTGACCGTTGACAATTAACCTTCCAACTAGGTTAGTTCTCTGTAGTTGCTAGGTTAGTTCTCTCTAGTTGCTAGGTTAGTTCTCTGTAGTTGCTAGGTTAGTTCTCTGTTTTTGTTCGGTTAGTAGTTGCTAGGTTAGTTCTCTGTAGTTGCTAGGTTATTTTTCTGATGTTGCTATGTTAGTTGTCTGTAGTTGCTAGATTAGTGTCTTTTGTTGCTAGGTTATTTCTTTCTTGCTGCTAAGTTAGCTGTCTTTTGTTGCTAGGTTAGTTATTTTTAGCTGCTAGGTTAGTTGTGTTTTGTTGCTAGGTTAGTTGTCTGTTGTTGCTAGGTTAGTTATTTGTAGCTGCTAGGTTAGTTGAGTTTTGTTGCTAGGTTAGTTGTCTTAAGTTGCTAGGTTATTTTTTTCTTGCTGCTAGTTAGTTGTCTTTTGTTGTTAGGTTAATTGTGTTTTGTTGCTAGGCAACGCCCCGGAAGGGCGGGGGATTGGGCGGGATCCCCAACCCGTGCATAGATCAGGGTCCCAAAATCGGGGGCCCAAAACATCAACGAGCAAGATACAATAGTCTACAGAGTCTCACTAACCAAAATCAAAAACAAAAAAACAAAAAAGAAAAGCCGAAAAACGAAAAAGAAACAGAAACTACAATACAAAGTCGATCTTCGGGCTAACAGATGCCCGAAATAAATGTCTAGACTAATAAAAGTAAAAATCCTAAACTACTAAAAGCGAAACGCTGGATATCTAAGCTGGTCCATCCGTACAAGAGTGCGAAGGCGGAGTGGAGCAGTGTCGGTCTGAAATGTATGTGTGTCTGGTATGGTGGCGCCAAGGCTGGCCAGATAGTCGGCAGGTCTGTTCCCCTCACGGAAAATGTGCGTGATCCTGTGATGGACAGACCGGAGTAGAGCTCTAATACGCATAAGCGAGTGCTGAATCTGCCACGATCCCTGGTGGCCCGAGGTCAAAAGGGTGGCTACAGCCGCAGCGTCTAGCTCGATCCAAATGTGGCTAGAGAGGTGGACAGCAATCTGAAGGCCGATCTGTAATGCCTGAATCTCTGCATCATAGCTCGAGGAGGCCTGAAGAGACGCGTGGAAGGCGGTGATGAGGGTGCCGCTATGGTCCCGGATCAAGCCTCCTCCTCCGGCAACTCCAGTGTGGCGATCAAAGGAGCCATCAATGTCTAGCTTGACCCACGGAGAGTCAGGTCGAAGCCAAACAACAGCTCTGGGCCGCGGGTGCCGAACAGGCGGTGGTGGGCCACCATGTATCGATGTGGTGGCGTGCAGCCTGTCCAGTCTCGAGCCGTGAGCCTGCCCAATGCGATGAAGAGTGAAATGTGTCTCTCTACCTGCAAAACAATGTGAGAAAACATAAAAGTAATATCCCTATGCTTCGCACTATTCCTTTCTGTCCAGGTGAACCAAAGGATCAGACAAGGAATGAGGAAGCCCACATGTCTAAGGTGTGTGCTCTGTGAGAAAAAACTCAGGAGCTCAAAAAAACTGTATGTGGTGGGTAGGGATATATGTGTCCAAGTGGTAAAATGCTCCCACACTCTCCTCACAATCTCACTCTTTAGAAAAAGGTGGGTAAAGGTCTCGGTCTCATGGCGTCCAGTCTCAGAACAACACACACACTGAGAGGGGAAGGAGATCCCTCTCGCATGTAGCACAGTATCGACGGGTATCCGGCGCAAGAGGAGGCGCCAAAGGAACACCGAAATAGTAGGGGTGAAAAGGTCACTCTAGATGGCCCCGAAAAGGAGATTAGGCCGATCCATCAGCCTGATCTGCTCCCAAGACGAGGTAGTAGAAAACACACCCGATGATGTAAGTCTCCGCCTCATGCTAAAACCCGCACCAGACCCCAACTCCCTATCAAGCTTCCCTCTATCCCACGACCCGTCCGACCAGAGGTCGCTCACAAGCAGGTAGGGGGAATGCGACACCTGCATATCCCTAGATAACGGCCTATCACCTACCCACCACTCATCCCAGAAACTAACATCGCCCTCGCCCAGCACCTAGAAAATGTGATCCTGGGCGTGCCTACCAACCCTAGTAAGGCGCCGCCACTGCCTACTATCATGATCAACAGCCGTCACCCAACAAGGGTGGTTGGCACGTCTAGGGCAGTACTTGCCCCGAAGGTACTGAGCCCAAAGCGACTTTCCTTCCCTGAAGCGCCACCACAGCTTGTATGAGAAGGCTGTAACAATGTCCCTGAGGCGGCGGATGTTAAGACCACCCTCGGGGAGGGGTCAACAGATGAAGTCCCAACTCACCCAGTGGGTATGTCTCCCCCTCCAGAACCGTCCTCGTAACCCCAGAAATAACGAGCCATAATCTGGTCTATCTCGTCAAGAGTAGACATAGGGGGATCGAGGACTATAAGCAAGTGAATCGGAAGAGAGCTAAGAGTGCTTTTGATCAGCGCAAGCCGACCACCGAAATAACTAACCTAGTGTTTTATTACTAGGTTAGTTGTCTGATGCTGCTAGGTTAGTTGTATTTTGTTGCTAGGTTATTTCTTTCTTGCTGCTAGGCTAGTTATTTCTTTCTTGTTGCTAGGTTAGTTGTCTGATGCTGCTAGGTTAGTTGTATTTTGTTGCTAGGTTAGTTGTCTGATGCTGCTAGGTTTTTTGTAAACAACAACGCCCCGGAAGGGCGGGGGATTGGGCTGGATCCCCAACCTGTGCATAGATCAGGGCCCCAAAATCGAGAGCCCACAATATCAACGAACAAGGTACAAAGATCTATGGAGTCTCACAATCACAGTCAAAAACAAAAGAAAAACAAAAAAGAGAAACCTAAGAACGAAAAAGAAAAAGAAACAAAAACTACAATACAAAGCCGATCTTCGGGCTAACAGATGCTAGGTTAGTTGTATTTTGTTGCTAGGTTAGTGGTCTGATGCTGCTAGGTTAGTTGTATTTTGTTGCTAGGTTATTTCTTTCTTGCTGCTAGGTTAGTTATTTCTTTCTTGTTGCTAGGTTAGTTGTTTGATGCTACTAGGTTAGTTGTATTTTGTTGCTAGGTTATTTCTTTCTTGCTGCTAGGTTAGTTATTTCTTTCTTAGTTGTGTTTTGTTGCTAGGTTAGTTGTCTGATGCTGCTAGGTTTAGTTGTATTTTGTTGCTAGGTTATTTCTTTCTTGCTGCTAGGTTAGTTGTCTTTTGTTGCTAGGGTTTTTTTTTAAAAAAAAATTGCAACCATAGGATTTGAATCTGGTACCTCATGGAAGCAAGACAAGCAATGCAACCACTACACTACTCAAGGTTGAGTGTCTTTTGTTGCTAGGTTATTTATTTCAATGCAACGGGTCTTTTGTTGCTAGGTTTTTTTTTAAACAAACAGCGCCCCAGAAGGGCGGGGGATTGGGCTGGATCCCCAACCTGTGCATAGATCAGGGCCTCAAAATCGAGGCCCAAAATATCAACGAGCAAGATACAATAGTCTACAGAGTCTCACTAACTAAAATAAAAAACAAAAAAAATAAAAAGTAAAAACCAAAACACGAAAAAGAAACAAAAACTACAATACAAAGTCGATCTTCGGGCTAACAGATGTCCGAAATAAATGTCTAGACTAATGAAAGCAAAAATCCTAAACTACTGAAAGCGGAACGCTGGATATCCAAGCTGGTCCATCCGTACAAGAGTGCGAAGGCGGAGTGGAGCAGTGTCGGTCTGAAATGTTTGTGTGTCTGGTATGGTGGCGCCAAGATTGGCCAGATAGTCAGCATGTCTGTTCCCCTCACGGAAAATGTGCGTGATCCTGTGATGGACAGACCGGAGTAGGGCTCTAATACGTATAAGCGGGTGCTGAATCTGCCACGAGCCATGGTGGCCCGAGGTCAAAAGGGTGGCGACAGCCGCAGCGTCTAGCTCAATCCAAATGTGGCTAGAGAGGTGGACAACAATCTGAAGGCCGATTTTTAATGCCTGAATCTCTGCATCGTAGCTCGAGGAGGCTTGAAGGGACGCGTGGAAGGCGGTGATGAGGGCGCCGCTATGGTCCCGGATCAAGCCTCCTCCTCCGGCAACTCCCGCGTAGCGATCAAAGGAACCATCAGTGTTGGAAGAGGAGAGGGTGAAGGTGCTCTTCTGCACACTGAGCAAAAGCCAGTAATGTCGTGGACCCGCTGAGCCCACCTGGCCGCGCTGGAAGAGGAGAGGGTGAAGGTGCTCTTCTGCACACTGACCAGCTGACCGGTAACCGAGCCATAGTGCTCCAAAAGGCACATTAGCTCGTCCATTCCATCATCATCCGCCCGGGTGAAGATGATGATGTCATCCGCGTAAGAGAGGTGAGAGATGGGAGGATCATAGCCACGGGGGCTATACGTCATATGAGGAAAGTCGCGGATGAAACCGTCAAGGCAGCGAGAGAGGTAGTCCACCGCAAGGACGAAGAGGGAAGGGGAAAGGGGGTCGCCAGTCGCCCTGTCTAAGACCTCTAGAGGAGGGAAAGAAGTCGGTGGGGCTGCCATTGACCAGGACAGAGAACGTGCAGTGCTCCATGCACGCCTCGACAAAACTGATCCAACGGTCAATAAATCCCATCCTAGCCAGGGCCTCCCTAAGAAACGGCCACTCAACCCTATCATACGCCTTAGCCATATCTAGCTTCAGCGCGATATTCGGAGCCCACTTCCAATCCGCACGGGAGATGTCGTGGATCATCTCCTGGGCCAAAAGGATGTTATCACTAATGACCCGATCCTTGACGAATCCACTCTGGTTCGGAGAGATGAGTGCGGGGAGAAGAGAGGAAAGAAAGCCTTTAAGGATCTTCGAAATGAGATTGTTGGTCACATTACATAGGCTGATGGGCCTGTAATCGGACAAAAAGCTCGGGTTGGGTCTTTTGGGAATCAAGACGAAAGAGGTAGACGTGAAGGAGTCCGGCATCCGGTGGCCGGAGAAAAATCCAACACCGCCTCCTCGACGTCAGTCTCGACTGGATCCCAGCAGACCTGATAAAAGAGGGAGGATAAACCATCCGGGCCAGAAACGCTGTTGGGATCAATCCTGAATACAGCATCCCTAACCTCCTCTCTATTCGGGAGCTCACAGAGGCCAATGAGGTCGACCGAAGGAGGGATGGTGGGAAAAAGAGAAGCGGTCGGGGCCACGAGGGACCCTCCGTCAGAGGTGAAGAGGGTCTGGAAGTGAGCAACAGCCGACTCCCGAATCTGAGCCTCCTAGGTCAAGGATGACCCATCAGCCTCGATACTATGGATGTACGACTTAGCACGCTTCTGCCTAACGTAGCCCTGGAAGAACCTAGTATTCCGCTCGCCCTCGGCCACTCAGCGAACGGCCACCTTCTTCTTCCAGAAGTCCTCCTCCATAAGGAGTCGGAGCTGGTACTCGGCGTGGCAGCGATGCATGACAGTCCTATTCTCTGGAGTGGGGTCTAGGTCATAGGCCCGCTCAGCCGTCGCGTGCGCACTCTGGGCCCCAAAATTGGGGCCGCTCAGTCTTTTGTTGCTAGGTTATTTCTTTCTTGCTGCTAGGTTAGCTGTCTTTTGTTGCTAGGATTTTTTTTTTTAAAAAAAAAATTGCAACCCATAGGATTTGAATCTGGTACCTCATGGAAAGAAGACAAGCAATGCAACCACTACACCACTCAAGGTTGAGTGTCTTTTGTTGCTAGGTTATTTATTTCAATGCAACGGGTCAACGCTGGAGTCAATGTCGGAAGTCAACGGTCAACGCCGGAAGTCAACAATTTTCACCCAAAAGTCAATGCCGAAAGTCAACGGTCAACGCCGGAGTCAACGGTCAACGCCGGAGTCAATTAATAATTATTTTATTATTTAATTAATGTATATTTTAATTGATTTTGATCTATATAAAATGAGTGGCTAAGATTGAGTCTTACGTACTCATTTTAAGGAGTGGTCTCATTGGATCCGTCTCATATATATATATATATATATATATATATATATATATNNA